AAAATAAAAAATATTTATTAGTAAAATTGAAAACTTTTATATAAAGAGAAAAATCCGCATTTTACTATGTTTAATTAGTAAATTTTGACGTCGTTGCATTATTTCTGATTGCCACTGTATAAGTATATAAATAAATTCAATATAATAATAAAAATTTAATAATTACTTTTAAAACTTTAAATTTAAATTTAAATTTAATTTTAATTTTAATTATAATAATATATTATATTAATATTATCAAAATTAACTATATAATTTTATAAATTTTTATAAAATGTTCTAAAAAAATATATATAAATATTTTGTAATATAAATAACAAATTATTATTTATATATATATTAATAAATATTTATTATCTTATAAAAAAATATTTAATTTTTCAAATTTATAAAAATTTTAATTGAATAAAAAATAAGTTAAAGTTAATTGTGATTTTTAAATAAATATGTAATTGCATAGAAATTTTACATGGTTTACTAAAAAGCTTGAAATCTTCAAAATTAAAATAATTTTATTAATAATTTGATATTTATAGTTTTAATTGGCAATCCACAATGAAAGAGAAATCATAATTACTATGCTCTTTCTACTCCTTGTTTTTTTTGAGCAAATTTTTTTGAGGTTCAAACGGAAATTACAAACAATATTAATAATGATAAAATTTACTTTGTAGTCTTAAGTAGATTTGTTCCTCATATTATTTTCATAAATTTTTCATTGTGCACTAAAAATTAAAGTTTAAATTTTTTACAGGGCGAGGGTACTTTATGTGTTTCATATCGAATAACGAGACGCTCTTATTTTGAAAGTACGTCATTGAAGGAAGTAATTACATGTGATTATTTGTGCGATATTAATCGAGTGGAGGAATAAGCAGCAATCTAAAATTTTCAAGATCCAATAGTTAAAATTAAGTTTAAATAAATCGAATTTTTGTACGTACGTAATATAAATTACTGTCGTGACAAAATTGACGTAGTTCCACAGACTATATCGATTCCAAAAATGGGTGAATCTCAAAATTCTAAAAATACAGCTAAAATACTTGAACCCAAAGAACTCGCCAGCAAACTACTTGCCATATTCAATAAAGGGAGCGATGGTTTTCTTTCGGATGTAGAGATAATATTTAGATCAGTACAGGAAATCTTGATACCGATACACCAGACTTATGGATTGTTTTATCATTATGGGATTGGCACGGAACCCAACGAAGAAATGGCATTTACTTTATTCAAGAAATCAGCCATAAGGGATAACACTACACCAAAAGATATAAACGAAGCAATCAAATATTATAAAAAAGCAGCTGATGCTGGTGATGCTGCGGGTATGTATTTTCTTGGAAATTGTTATGAGGGAAATTTATCATGGAAAAGGTGATGATAAGTATGGAAGCTTCGATCATCATCGAAAAGCTATGATGGGCGGGACCCTGCTGAATCCGATATTGTTCATTGTTATGAAAGGGGGATTGGCGTGAAGAAGGATGGAAATAAAGTTTTTTATTGGTATTCAGCGTCGGTGAGGTGTGGCGAACCTAATGGGTAATTTTCTGCTGGATTGTGCTATTTTGAAGGGTATGGGATAAATAGGGATATGCATAAAGCTACAAACTGGCTTTATAAAGCTCATACGAATAAAGACGAAGACTCGACGATTTGTTTGAGAGAGCTATTTTAAGTACTTAGGAAAATTATGCATTGACAATGTTTCTATTAGATAGACCAGCTTCGAAATTGAATTTTAGTTTTCTCATTTCTTCAAAAAACCAAGATTTAACAATTCGGACAATTTCACCTAACCGTAAATAAAGTACCCCGAGTTTTTACGACAAACACCCCTTTATTTCCATTTTTTTATGCATTCCTCCCGCTTTTTGTTTATGCCACAACATTTGGCATTTTAAAATGTATTCAACCATTTCTGCTGGACGCTAATTTCCTTAACTAGTTACATAAGAAAAGTACAATTTTTACCATACAAGTGTTAATTGATAACGATACGTAATGCATAACATAACTTACCCAAGCAATGGCATTACTTTTTTTTATTCACAGAATCAACCGCAATATATAAACAAACCAATCGAATATTATAAAAAAGCAGCGATATTGTGGGAAGTTATTTTTCGGCAGTTATGATGAGGAAATCATGGAAAACTTTGAGCATTACCGAAAAGCTATAACGATAATAGCAGATACCCTACCAAATCCAATATTATTGTATTTAATGTCGGCGAGACATAGTGACAATATTGTGCTATTTATACATTATACATAAAGCTACAAATTATATATTTTTGAAATTATTATTTTTCTTTATGTACAAAATATGGTGTATTGAATTTATTTTCTTTTGCTATCTTTTATATTTGCTACTAATTTTCATATTGTTCCGGAAGAGAATTTTAAACCGTGTGCTGTGGTGTTTTAAAATTACCATCTTTGAAACCAGCTTCAAAATTGAAAGTTTAATTTCTAGTAATTGAAAATTGTTGCAGAAATACCAACGGAAGAAAAAACCAAGTTAAATATTATTCAGTTTTAAATAGGACAATTGTTTTTAAAATGCAGTCGGGAACTACAACGAAAACACGTTGGAATTTCACGGGACGTCGCTTCAATTCCATATATTGTTATGCATTCCTCCCACTCCGCTTGAAAATGTTTGTATATATTCATGGTGGCTCTTGCATCTTCGACAGAGTCATGTGCACCAGATTGAATATCTTTTATGAGAATCTTTCGCGATAGCATTTTCAACGACGGAACTCTTGAAAATATTTTTCGAATACCGTTGTAAATAGATATGTCACGTGTCAATTCAGCCGGATGAGAGAGTTGTAACACCTATAATTCGTTATGAAATATGTTTGTTATTCAAATACATGTATAACAAATATATAATGCGAAAATATAATGCGAAATTAAAATGCTTTTTACATCAAAGTCTATGTGAATAGAATGTCCAATGACAATATTGCCTTTGATTATGTCGGCGACTTGTTTTTTCACAGAATTTAGACATCTTGCTAAAAATAAAATTACCGATATTTATCGATAAAAAATAATATGAAAGAAAAGTAAACATTATTTTTCGATTGACTTTTAATCGCACCATTCTCTAGCGAATCTTTGGTAATTCCACTATATTTTGTACGATAATCAGTTATAAGTTGTTCTGGTTTTACGTATTCATCTAAAACGACATCTCCATAGAAATCGACTATGCTTACACGCGCGAGCGCTGATTTAAGGCCTCTTTCACCAGTACCAACCATCTCACAATCTAACGCAAAATATTTAATAGTGCTGTCGATTGGGAAAATATTATGTGAAGCCATGATAATTGCGATTTTTCGAATTAGGTGCTTTCTGACAACCTTCACTCGCTTTTATATTTCTGTTGATGACAATAATCTTGCAGCATAGAGAACTTAATGCAAAAAAAATTCATTTAAAAGTTTCCATTTTTTTATTTGTGCATTTCAGACGCTTTTTTATTTATGCCATTGTTAAGTTCCTCTTTGTTTATTCATCTTTTATAGTTTTATTAAATTCGGCGATGGCCATGGATGCATATCAATCCCGATACATGTGTAATGTGCATTCATGCATCAACGGATAAAAATTACCAAATTTAGGATTTAAATATTGATCTTTAACGTTAACGCATTCAACTTTACATAATTTGTTTAACAAATCTTAATTCGTTCTGACAATAACGATAACGATAACGATCGTAGTACACGAACATAACGATAATGGTAGTTTTGTTACACGTACATGTACATAACGATAATATTTTATTAGAATTACAAGTACTAGTTTTAGATTCTGTCTCTTACCAAAAGGTTATGAGAGAAACTACCATTCTTTTATTTACATTATATCAAAGCTTAAAGCAAGTCTATAACAAAGCATTTTTTGTAAGCTAACATAGCATCATATCAGGCGAAAAAGAAATTTATGATTGATTCGTTAATGAAAGTATCATTTATTTATGCAGATATTAACATAATTATGCATCCTTTGCATTGTACAGTCATACCTTCACATATCTATACACAGTACAATTCTCTTATGCATATTGGAACTGGCACTGTAATTCATTTAAAAGTGTGTAATTATATGGAGGTACGTATGACTGGATTACGAGTTTAGCTATAAACACAATTTGATTCTTAAATGCATCTCAAGATATCAGATTGCTTCTCGCAATCATTATTATTCATAGACGACGCATACTTATCGTTATGAAACCCTGTCTTCCTTTTCCTAAAATTGATAATTGGTAATTACTTTAATAATGAATTAACTTTCAAATTTCATAAAATTTAAACAAAACAAAATAAAATACGTATTCGTTTATTTTACTCTTATTTAATGGCGATGTCAACTATTCCTTTAACGTTAACCTGCTCTCTCAAAAACATCACGGCGTAGTAGTGCTATCGCTATCGCATAGACAAATAAGGGTTCACTTTAGTACAAGCATCATCATGCTATTCATGATTACCGAATTTTGTTAATAACGACATGCAATGATGTAACTGTACATGTAATGACATTATGATTTATAATGAATTGCTGATGCCATTGTTGCATATAATCGTAGACGTCCATAACGATTAGGGTAAGTGCTGTTTTGGAAATACTTGACTGAAGGTTTTTAAGCCTGCAAAAATCCATCAATTATTATTGATCATAACAATGTCATCATCTTCCGAAGAACAAGAATTGTTATATACAACAATCAAATAATTTGAACAATAATAACAACAATAGTATCGTGATAATAACAATCACAAAATATGGCGATGACGCAAGTGAAAAAGGAACAAGATTTATCTAATTATAAAAAAATCAGCGAAAAGAACAGGGTACAATTTTACCACAAGTATACGTCTTACTTTGAAGAATGAAGTAGTGTTTTTCGATGAAGTTGATGGAAATGATGTCGTAGCTTTTGTAAGTTAATTATGATTTGGTTTTACAAATATTTTCATGTTCTACTTATTTACATTTTCTATAATTTTGAAATTATTAATTTTTAGTATGAGTTGGAACTTTTAAATATCCTAAGAGTAAACAAGATTCATTGTTGGACAAATTCTTTTGTTTTGCTGACGATATTGAAAGCGAACTAGATTCTGAATTCGAAGAATTATTCTGTTTTGAAATGGTTGTGAATGTTCTGATCCAAGTGGAATGGTAATATTGCATTTTTATTTCTAGTGAAATTATAAAAAATATCTTCTATATTACAGGACAAAAGCAGCTTTCTAACGGATTTCTGGCAATTATCGTTCTCTATATTTGAATCGTCACTTCTCGATGATTGTAGTTAGAAATCAAATAGTAATTTGAGAGTGTTATAAAAAATAAACCAATCCGTTATTATATTTAAGCAAAGTGTAATTATAGCGTAATTAATAAAACTGCTTGCCGTAATTTATTTTTGATATTACGACTGGTTTATCATATTGTTTAAAATACTTTCCGTAATATCGTAGTTATTAAAGAATTACGGCAGACAACTTTAGTAATTACTTACGTAATTAAATCGTTAGGTGTAAATATTTGCGAAATGCATTGGTACGAATACATCAGAATGCACCTTCCATAAGTACACACCCTTCCTAAATACACGCTTTACAAATTTTTTCTCCATTTGTGAAGATGACTTCGCGATCGATTATTTTTAAAGCGAAGGTTTTAATACGTCGCTCCCGTTAAACCGGACACTTGTTAATCCGGAAACGAACAAATTTTTCGAAACTGATTAATCGGATCTCTCATTAAACCGGATGGCTTCAATCAGACCTGTACCTATAATAGGATATCCCATCCCTCGGGCGCCGTTGATATCTCCAATCCGCACCCTCCACATCTAAATATCTTTCGTCCCCTAACCTCTGATGTATCCACCCACAATTGCTACATGTCTTGCTCAAATATGCCTAATTAACCACCACAACATCCTTATTAAACTTTTGGACCTTTGAAATCAGCCTTTGGCAAAACCGTCCGTGTGTCCAAGTCATCATTTTACGTACAATCTTGCTATTGATCTTACGATGCCGTCGACGAGCCATCTGGCTACCATTAAAGCCGGAATGACAATTACATCAAAGGTACGTACGAGTCACAATGCGGTCTTATGATGGCATTCGTCGATGAGATTGCGAATATGTTGTCGAATGCGTGCTTGGGTCCGGCGCATAGAATTCTGTTTTTGAGCAGAAGCTGGGAAATGAGATTGTCGAGATTAAATAAAGGCGTACAATGTAGCCAGAGCCATGCATAGGTGTAAATAGATATCAATTAGCTATTTTTCAAATGGTATGAAGTCAAGCTTTGACCGTTACTCACCAAGTCATAAATGTGCGGACACCTGGATCTAGAGAACAGACGTGAAGACCTCCCATTTGGTTCTTGTGAGAGGTTGCTTTGCTTTTCTCATAAACCCAAATGAATGTCCACTGCTGTTGATGTTGATCCCACATAAGTTTGGAATCATTATTGACCCTTCCTTCTAAGTTTAGTCTCTTCTTGCGATGCTCATGATGAAGAGACGGATAGTGGCTAAATTCTTGTGGCGAGGGTGCACAGAATCATCTCTTGTGACAGTGCGGGTGTGAAGGATGTGAGGATAGAACTTGAGGTTATTCACACAGTTCTGCTTGTGATCGTGATAGTCTGGCGAGGTTCCCTTACGACTACGAAATGAGAGTCGATGATATGGTTGCTGCCCTGCAGCTCGTGCCTTCTAATTCCTTGAATGAACAAGATCTCGAGGTTGGATTGCCTCCTTTGTTGCTTCATCCAACACATTGTATGCCATAAAAGCCCAGGTGCCATCATCAATCCGTTGCTGACAAAGGCTGCGGAAGTGAGTTAGGCTAGCAAAATTATCTTTATTGTGAAATGCCTCAATAACCATATTGTATGCAAGCCTGTAAAGTGTAAGATGCACATTGTTTTTAGAGTAATAAAAGAAAGAACTATTTGGATACACCCGCACCTTCAGGCTTCTCATTGATCCCTCCACCGTTTGCTTTTTCAAGCGTGGGTCAGATCACGCCGACCTTGAACTTCTTTGTGTTGTGTTCGGTGCCTGTTCGTTCTTCGTCCGTTTCTTGTCGTTTAGTATTGCAATCGGCACGTGCGCTGATTGCTGGTGGTGCGATTGAAGGAAGATGGGTTGTCACTTGCGTATACCAGGATGAACTTGGGTCGTCAAAACTATTGAGTCACTATTGCTCGGCAGCCACAATCTAAGAAGAGAGTAGTTAGCAATTATTAAAACATACGAAAAGAATAAACGAGCAAAACATAGCTTTATGACCAGGCTGCGACGCGAGCATTCCAATAGAGTTTGGGATATATGACTTTTCTCTTGATGCAGCCAGAGTGTAAGGGATAAAAAAACGGTTAAAAGAGGCGTAGTAAGAATTTGATAAGCGAGGGAAAGGAAAAGAGGTGCTTTATATTCCATCGTCGCGTATTAACAATACTGACAATTTCTTGATGATTTGTTAATCAATTTATCCGACGACAAAAAAGAAGGAACAAAAAGACTTATTTAAAAAATTATTATATAAGGGCTGATATCGATATGTAAAGACTTGGTCCTAGTAGATAAGTACATGAAGAGGCATTTATCGTTACTACGTATTTTGAATTCCATTTGTGTTTGTGAGTTTCCGAATTCTATCTACAGATTGTACCAATTCTGGAACCGTTTTAAGAATTCTGAACGACTGTTTTCATAGTGTTTTTAAATACGACTGCCTGAGAAATGTAAAGCGGCCTTATGGTATTAGTCTATTTTATTATATTATTCAACCTGAAAAAATATCTATAACCACGTTTTACGAAAATGAAAGTTTAATCTCTGTAAATTAGCAAAACTTTTCTGATAAATCTTTATAGCAACAAACTCGTAGGTACGTAGTTAATGAAAAACGAAGACAAAAAATAATAGAAAAAAAACGGCATTAACAACGCTCGAAAATGACACGTGTGATTATGGGGCTCATAACGATAAGCTGTAACACAGAATTATATAAAATTGATGACTTTGCAACCCGACCACATTCAACAATACAGTGGGTGTCCAAAGCATTGTGGACACTTTTTTGGCACAAGTGATTTTTAAAAGCTAGTAAAAATACATTAAACATACAATTTAGTATCGAACCGAAATATATGGGAAAATTGAACTGAATTAAAAAATTAAGCTAATGGCTATTTATATGTACATGTATTATTTATCAGCAAAACGACGTTAAAAATAGATCAATATGAAAAATACACTTTTTTTAAAATGTTACTATTACTAGTCCTCCAGAAATAAACAGTCAATATATTATCATTTGATTCATTCTCTATTATTCCACATTTATTTCAGCATGCATTTATGGAGGGTATTCTAAGAATGAGACCACACAAGAAATCTACTTGTTTAGCCAACTGGCTAAATAATTGGATGTCGGGCTTTCTGCATAATACGCCATTTGTTTAAATATTGAATAAACTAATACTACAGAAAATATTTATTTACGAAACGAAGGTACCAAAATATAATAATCTCAATTAAATAAGAATTACTACAATGCTTACTTACTAAGAGAAGCGAATAAACAAAGCCCGAAAAAACTTGCTCTAATCGTTACTATTCAATTCAAGTCTCGGTGCTAGCGACATCATATTTAAACAGCCAAAAAAAATAGTCTCAAAAAAATAAAATTCCTCATAATCATTTTCTTGAAAATTTCGAAGCATTTGAGTAGTGAATGTAATAACTTTGTTAGTGAATGTTGATTAGCAGATTCACTGTTGATACTTTTGACCATTGTTACTGTTATTATTTGATACTGTTGATGTTGGTGGTAATATAGGTTTTTTTTAGTCGTTCATCATTATGAATATAAGAATAGTAGAGAAACTTGCAATAATTTGTTTTAACAGAAAGCTGAAACAATTGACGTTTTATAGCATCTGTATGGGATGTATGCCGAACCTCTTTAGCCTATTGGCTTATCGCCTCAATATCCGAAGTACGTATCTCGTTATTTTCTAGATTCTTTTATCTGATGTCGGCTATTGACATTGATCGACATAAATTATTAACATTAATTGATGTAAATTATTAATTACATGTATAATTATAATCGTGAAATAAAGCGCGTACATATTTGTATACGCCTATTGAACATACGAATAATTATGCATATCTGTAAAGTCACTTGTACTTATTGTTCTAAAATGAATCTATTTATTTTGTAACTGAAATATTTCAATCCATGTACATGTATTAAGGGTAAATTATATATAACCTTTAATAGTGCTGGCTGAAAAATTTTCTAATCGTCACGATAGACGAAAATTAGAGCAAGTTAAAATTTATTTAAAAAGTAATAATAAGGAAACTGTTAATGAGCTTTTTTCGTCCAATTGAATTTTGACAATGATAACGATAATCATGATAGTACCAAAACTATTCGCTAAATGAATGTTAACGTTAATATATCGATATTCCCATTTGTTTTATTTCGGGGGGTACATTTCGATAATCAAAGCATTTAGCGTTAGTGGAACGCGAAGTTTAATCAGCAGACAACGTTAATATCTGAGTACAGATAACTCGCACAGTGTTGCTTTGTAACATTTAGTCTCTTTAAAAATAGAAAAAGGAACTTAAAAGCTTTTTTGGTGTTTATTATTTGAATTTTAATTCTAAAGTACAAGATTGAAAATAAAAAGAATACTACGTATTACTATGTTAAATTAATACGAATACATAACGATAAAATGATGAATGATACTATTAATTTTACTTTTTGAATATTCCAAGTTTACGTCTCCTGGATGGCGTATCTTTCGGCGCTTGAATAAGAGCATGACAAAAAAGTGGCACCAAAAAAGTTATATTCATCACTATAATCATTTTTATTATTATTACTATCCATTCCCAAATCTTTCAATGTGCGAGCAATATACTTTATAATTATCGATAAAAGACTTTGCTTTTGAATGGGAATAGCGAATTCTCCGTTTTCTATGCTTGGTCGTTCGTTTATCATTAACCATTCTGAAAATGATTCGTCTTCATTTTCTAGTTGTTCGGCAGCCGATGTTTCATCTCCTTTTATTACTTGCTTTTGTTTCAAATTCTTCGAATCAATAATAACTGTATAATTTTCATTCTTGTTCGCATCTGACATCGGGAAATAATAAAGAATAATTATATAGTTAAGTGTGTCGTCGAATTATATTTTTAATTGACTGACAAACAAAGAATAACGAGTTTTTATAACGATATCGATATCGAGAATGAACCATTTTGTGCGGTATTTATAATCAGTTTCCCGAGTTTCTATTTATAAACACAACCCGTTTATTTGATCACGCGTACATTTGTACGTATACTTGTACAGTACATACGTATTGTGCTCTTCTAGTTTTGGATAAAAAAGAATTTGGAATTAATGAGAATATCTATGTCGAAGCAAAATAAACTATGAATCATTTTGTCGTTAGTGATATATTAATTTGAATAGTCCTTTCTTATAATAACATTCTTTATAAGAACACCTCTTTATAGTAGCATCTATATTTGGATTAAAAAAATACCTTTATATGAAAAGAACCTCTCTATAAAAACATTTTTATGTTCTTACAGTAGGGGACAAAGTAACCGAACAGTTCTAATTTAGCAAGAGAATTCACCAACTATTAGTATCTTAGTCCGCGTTTAAAATTGACCTGCGCAATCTGCGCACCGCAGATTGGAGACTGGTTGCGCAGATAAAAATTCATCCTTTAATCTTAAATTCAATAATATGAGGCATTGAAATTATATCATGCGCATATTGAGAAAATTTTGCGCAGATAGATTACGTATATTGAAAGTATGCGGGCGCGCCAGATTAATTTTTAAATGAATTTTAAACACTGATTTTAGTGCAAGTAACTGGTTAAAATAGTTTATTTTTACAAATTTTTTGTAATTAATAGGGCTCCTAACGAGCCGGCTCTCGAGCTTCTCGAGCTAAAATTTTATATGTAGTTTAATAATATGGGTTTAAACCCTATTAATTTAATTATATGTTTGCGAGTCGTATGCGAGCCAACGAGCCGAGCTTTTCGGAGCTCTAGTAATTAATCAAAATAAAAAAGTTTATATTGGTTATTAAACTGTTTTGGTGACTTTTTGTGACTAGCTTAGAAATTAACCACATAAGATACTCACTATGAAATTTGTGCTCTGCTTTCTCATAGTTTGAGCTTATTCTTGAGCTACAAATACTTTATATCAAAACTTTATGGAATTACTTATGGATCAATCTTTACTCATTCTTGTCCAATATTTTCAAATGTTGTGGAAATTCGTAACATTTGAAAAAAGCAATGCTATTAAGGCAATAGTGCATTAGTGATCAAGACTTGATTCACTTCTTATGCCATAAATTCTCAGATTGACACGTGGTTATTAGAACTGTTCGGTTATTTTTGTCCCCGACTGTATATAAAATAAATAACATTTTTTTATTATTGACCCAAAATTGTTTTATTAAAAAGTTTAAGTTCACCAAAATTTACTACGTAATTTAAAAAAATTGAAAATATCGATATACATGCACATTAGCACCCAATTTAGAGTTTGAAATTTAAAATGAAGGTAAGGATAAATGTCACTGCTTAAATGTGTATAAAATAAAAAATATGCTGTTTATTTCGATCATATCATAATCCAATCCAACTTAATATTCGACGTTGATTTAATCGATCCACATCATTCGTCATCGACTAGCAATGCTGCATATTTTCTACGATACTTGTTGATATATTCTGGATCAGCAGCAAAATATAACACTCGAGGCCGAGATGGCTCGATTAACTTTTTCTTGTTTAAGAAAGAAAGTAAAAGCGCTCTTGGTATAAAAATTCGTAAGATACGAATCAGAAGAATTGACCAGAACGGTTTAGCTATTTCATGTATAGGTAAGGTCTCGGATAAAATATGAGCAATTGCCCGTTTAGAATTTTGTTCCTCTCTCTTTTTTATGTCATCGTATATTTTTCTAAAATAAAAATCAATATTTATATTCTATATTAACGTTAAGGTGAACAAGAAAATCAAAAAAAGCTTACGACATAAAAGCGATCAGCATGTTTTGAGTCACAATAACCAGAAAAAAGCCACCAAATATGGATAGAAAGTGAATCGGCCAAAAATCCCATTTATCTAAATAGTCCCATCTTCCATTGAGCCAAAAGTAAATGGTCTCCATAGAATTTTCCATTTTCCATGGTTCGTCAAGCCCTATTGAAGAATTCAATCCGTGTTTGTCATTAAAAAGTGGGATAAAATGAAGTAATAGAAACCTAAAAATATAATAAAAAAACAGTTAGAAACTTTATATCTGCTCGAATAAAAATACAAATAGTTGACTTACATTGAATAAGCGAATGAAGTAATAATGATTAACAGAAAAAAAATAAATGGAGCGGTTTTTATCAAAATCTTGTTGATTATATAAATAAAGTAGTACGTTTCTAAAGAAAATGATATTGAATTAGTCAATAGCGATAGGATAAACAACAAAAGATAAATCAAGCACACAGTAGATCTCTAAGTCGACCCTGTGACTAAATCAAAAACCTCACTTAGTCGAATTAGAGTCTAAACACTAAATTAGTTGTCTTAAAGACGTTTATTGTGTACACAGTCACTCTCCTTATAATGGATCTCCTTTATAGTGGAGGTTAATTAAACTCTCGATATAATGGATTTTTATTATAAGGAGATTGACTGTGTATTAGGTTACTTACGTTCGATAAATCTTAAGCGAAAAAACTAAAATTGAACAAAAACAATTAGTGCTTTGTTATTCAAAATTGGTTGTTTGAAAAATATAAAAATTTCTTACGAGTTGTATGCAGATTATTAAAGCTGTGAAAGCGAATATTACAACTTGAGTTTCGCAACTATGTACATCAGTTTTTTCTATATCGAGAGAAGTCTTAGTAGAAGAGCAAAAGACATTAATGTGCACAGAAAATATATCTAAACTAATAATCGTTATTAAAAGGCCTTCAATCAATTCCATTATAGTATAAAAAGTAAATTTTCTACATGCTGCATATAATACTAATGAACTAATCCAATATACCCCATAAAAAATAATCGCATAGTCCAAAGCGAAATGTCCATCAATACTAAATCTTGATTGATCAAGTATAGTGTATAACCAATAGAGATACCAAACTAAGAAAATAGAAAGACCGGAATTAATATATAATAGAAACTTGCTGCCTATCGAATCTTTAAACTTTAAAGCCGCGTCGATTGTTGGAATCATTAAAATATCGGAACAGGGATCACACTCAAGGAATCTTATTAAAGGACTAAAATAAATACTAAAAAAATATTGCCCTATATAGGGTTTTCTAAAAAAATTTGGAAAGGGTACGACATAAGTCTTGAAAGCTAAATTTCTATTATCAAGAAATTTGTTGCCCTGAGAAAGCTGAGTTCGATATATATTTTTTGTGTATGAAATTGGACAAATTTTCTCTTTTTCGATCTCGAGAATACTCATCTCACAAGTTGCTGTTGCCGGTAATTCTTGCTCTTTACACCAGAATATATCATTCGAAAAATATTTGATAATGATTTCTTAAAAAGAAATTAATTAGTAAAAATTAGATAATTATTTGAAAAAAAATAACGATGCTATACCTGGGAATTTTTTATAAAAATTTGGTAAAGATTCTGAGAAAAGACTCATATATCCGATATCATATGACCCCCAAGATAGGTAATAGTCCATAAGAGCTTGTATCATTTCAAGTTTTCCTTTATCAATTGCAATTGACAAAACATTAACTCCAGTTTTTTTATTAACAAAAAAAGGAACATGCAAACCAAACTCCAATGTTTTGATTGATTGTTGATCTTTGTGTTCAATATAGCGTTTCGATAAAAATGATTCAATAATTCTGACGGAGCCTTTTTCGATGAATTTAATCACGATTTGATGATTTAAATCAAGGCATCTCCAAAAGCTAAATTCGATTTTTTGAGATTCGATTTTTTTAATTAGCATTTTTTCGGTCGCCATCAGAATTTTTTTTAATTGATTGTCTCTTGCAATTGAATCTACTTGACAAATCGAATATAGAAAATCGAATGCATCAAGATTGTCGAGAAAAACTTGCTCATCTGTCATTTGCTCAGAAAGTGCTTTCTTTGGAATAGTAATCGTAATAATATCATCGGTTTCTAATTTTAGGAGAATTTCTAATTCTTTTTTATCATCTCTGATTATTTTAAACGAGTTTATCTTTTTATCTTTGTATTCTTGATTCGACCAAAGTGACCAGATGTATAAAAGTTCATATGTTATTTTTTCAGAATATCCCCACACTTGTATTGTGTTATAGCCAACGATGAGGCGTAATGAATTGTCTTTTAGAAATTTTATTCCTGGCTTAAATTCATTTTCTTCATTCTGTG